GCGTTTTTAATATATTAATGAAAACTAGCATTCGTCTAAGCCGTAAACTACAGTTGTTATTGCATGTTGATGTATTACTCTGCTTTACCAGAATTTCCTATGCTTAGATTATGTTAAAAGCTTTGATTATTTTCACTGTACTTTTGGCTTTGGGGGACATTTAATTTAATTTTGTTATCGTTTCCAAGCATCTCAACTAAGAAATGTAAAACATTGGGAGAGATGTGAGTGGGTAAAAGGTATTTTAAAACTTTTGCTGGTGAGTAAGAGATCAAGTAAGTTACCAAGTCTTAAATCTACTTAGGATTCAGGCCAAATCCAGGCCTCTGCCTGGTATTCTTTTCACTAGACTATACCATGTAGTGAGCAAACTTTAACTGGATAGACACATTCCTGAATTTAATGTAAATGGATCGCAGTCGGGAACCAACATATAAATGATCCTACAAGCTCTTCCTCCTGAATACTACTATTCTTTCAAGAACTGAGTCCCTTTTTTCTTTGAAGTTACCTTAATACCTGCCTTCACACCCTCACAGAGCTCATTTTAGCTTGCTCTCATTGCTCTGAGTCTTCAAGGTTACCCATCTGTTTTATGACACTTCGTTTTTTTGCTTTGTATATGTTGTTTGATTACTTACATATTGCATCTTCCCTGTTGGATTTCTAATTCATTGTGGAAGGATCTTGGTTTGATTCCCAATATGCTTTCCAATTTTCAGGACCAAAGGTGACAAATGCTTTATTATAATAATAGAGAACACTAAGATGTTCTTAATAGAAGTTCCATGTAAGTAATGTTTCAACAAGTGCTTTGTTCTGCTTTCCTTTTTTTAAGTTGGTTTACCTTTAGTAATTTAAGATGGGTTTTTGGGACTTCCCTGGTGGCACAGTGGTTAAGAACCCGCTTGCCAATGCAGGGGACACGGGTTTGAGCCCTGGTCCGGGAAGATCCCACATGCCGCGGAGCAACTAAGCCCGTGCGCCACAACTACTGAGCCTGAGCTCTAGAGCCCACGAACCACAACTACTGAGCCTGTGTGCCACAACTACTCTAGGCCTGTGTGCCTAGAGCCTGTGCTGCACAACAAGGGAAGCCACCACAGTGAGAAGCCTGTGCACCGCAACGCAGAGTAGCCCCCGCTCGCCACAACTAGAGAAAGCCCACGCACAGCAACGAAGACCCAAATGCAGCCATAAATAAATAAATAAACTTATAAGATGGATTTTCATCATAAGACTCAAAGTACCTTAGGAAATAAGACAGTCATACATATAAGAACATTAAAACTGTTAGAGTTCATTGCAGTGTGCAATAGACAGGGAAAATGTACCAAGGAATTGTGATTCAATATGAACCTCGAAGGATAGATAATATAGGTAAAGGCAGAGAGAATGGGGAGGGCATTCAAACGGTGACTTGGGGGAGCAAAACTTGGAGATGGGAAGGTGCCTTCAATGATGAAAGCAGGGGATGAGGAGGTGATGGTAGCAGCAGGAGGTGCCTATCAGACCCTCTATGGTACCACTTCTCTTGAAAGCCAAGTCCATTTTGTGGGCAAGGTTGTTCTTGATGCTTTACCTACCTGCGCGTGGTGGCTGGGCTTGTCTTCTGACCTTCCTCGTGAAACTCTTCTAAAGCCCTAAGGTTCCCAGTTATTCCTTGCTAATAAGTCCAGTGCATAGTTTTCAACACTCATCTTCTTAAAAATAAAACATAATCAGTTTCTAAAACCTAACACAGCTAATTCTGAGTACCTTGGTGGTAAGACCTTTTTTCCTTCCCAATTACGTGCTTAGGTACCTCATCTTTGTGGGAAGTATTCACTGAATGCATTCATTCAGTAAATATGAGTGCCTACCATGTGGCCGACATTATTCTAGAGATTTTATACATTAGCAAGTATGTGTGACACCAGGCGGTGGAGACAAGAACCTATACTCATGGGATTAATTACTCTAATGGAAGGAGACAGGATAAAAAAGTATGTTAGTTGCCCTGACAAGCCCTCAGACAAAAGTAAGGCAGAGAAGTAGAGGTGTTAATCTTAAGGTCAGGAACAGACTCTGCAGAGGAGCCTGAGTAGGAATTGTCCTAAGTGTGTTCAAGGAAAAGGCAAGAGTCATAGGATCGGAGTGCAGTGAGCCTAGGGCGGAAGTGGGACAGGAGAGCTTGGAGAGGCTAGAAGTAAGGGACGACAGATTATCAAACTCCAGATGTTATTTTGGCTGAGGTCAGAAGCCGTCGGAGGGTGGGAAAGGAAGTTCTGTGATCAAACTTAACATTTTAAGAGGATCACTCCAGCTGCTATGTTGAGAATAAAGTGTAAAGTGACAAGGTTGGGAGCAGGAAGACCACTTAGCAGCTTGAACAGAGGTGTTTGGTAATCAAGGTTGTTGATGGATTCTGGGTCTATTTATAATATAGAGCTGGCAGAATTTGTCAAGGGATTGGAGTGTATGTGTGTGAGAGAGGAGATTTTTGGCCCAAGCACCTGAAAGAATTGAGATTTACTAGGGCTTCCCTGGTGGCGCAGTGGTTGAGATTCCGCCTGCCGATGCAGGGGACACGGGTTCGTGCCCTGGTCCGGGAGGATCCTACATGCCGCGGAGCGGCTGGGCCCGTGAGCCATGGCCGCTGAGCCTGCGCGTCCGGAGCCTGTGCTCCGCAACGGGAGAGGCCACAACAGTGAGAGGCCCGCGTACAGCAAAAAAAAAAAGAAAAAAAAAAAGAATTGAGATTTACTGAGATGGGAAGACTTGGAGAGGAAAACATTTGGTTTGGAGGAAATGGGAAGAGGAATTGGAAATTTAGCTGGAGATTCCAGTTAGTCATCTGAATCCAGATGTCAAGTAGGCATTGAATTTATAAATCTGGCGTGTAAGGGAGAGGACATCCAAGCTGACTATTTGACATTTAAGATTTTCTTCATATACATTTTGCAAAATTCTTGTTGTATTTATTGTAATAATTTTTTAAAATTTATTTTGGTTGCTACTGTAAAAGAAGTGTTTTCTTTCATTATACTTTGACTAGGTTTTGCTTATGTTTACGTAGGCTATTGACGCCGGCATGTATCATTTTGTGCCAAGCCACCTTGCTGAATTCTCTTAATTTATAAAAGCTTTTTCATAGATTCACTGGATTTCTCTTCTCCTTTGACTTTTCTGTGGAATTTTACCAAACTCTTCAATTCTGAGAGGTACCACTTTCTTTCATGGCTTGATTTGCTTTCCTTTGCCTAAAATATCAATTATTTCTTGTCTTTTCCTGTGAGTTTCTATTCATTCCCCCAAACCCAGCTCATGTTTCCCATCTTGTCAAACATTTCTGGATTCCTAGGAAAGTTTCTCTTCCTATGAGCTGCAGCTGTACCATCTGCATACCTGTATCAGAACAATCATCAAAGTTTATTCTAATTTTGTATATATCTTTCAGTCCTTTTGGGGGAGGAGAACTGGGTCTTACTGTCTTTACATCCCCAGTGTTTAGCTGAATCTGCTACATGGTTGTCTGTTACAGGATAAACGTTTGTTGAATAGATGAGTAGTCAATTTGGGCAGATTAAAAACATTTGGAAATTGGATAACGTTTTTCTTCATATAGATTTTATAAACTTGTTGTATTTATTGAAACACTTCTAAAAATTCATTTTTGTCACTATTGTAAAAGAAATCTTTTCTAAAGTGTAATATAACTTTGCAGTTATACTCCTAAAAACTAAGGCCTATTATTTTAGAAAACTAATGTAGGAACCTTGTTTCTGTTTTTTCATGATGCTGAGTGCACAAACGTGCTTGGATTTGTAAGACCTTAAATTTTGAAAATACTTAATGGCTGGATGTTACGTATTTACTTACAAAGAAGGCCTTTTATTTTGCATGGTTTTTATTTTTGCCTAGGAATCATCAAAGCATTGAATTGGCCATGTGTAGAATGTCTACTACTGTTTCTGTTATAAATCAGTTAAGGGGTTGTCCTAGTAAGTGACACTGAAACATATTTATTATAATAATTATTTGTAACATTGATTTTATTGAAATAGAAATATAACTTTATCAAATAACCAATCACAGTTCACTGTTCATTGCTAAGCACAGTGGGAAATACAGCATGCTTCTTTCTTACAGGGAGTAATAAATGTAGGCAGAGAGATGAAACCGGTACCCAGGAGAAAAAAAATGGGAAAAATGTTACATTTGTGGAATCTGTTGTATGTGCCTTATAGAGAGACACTTGATATAGGGGAGTGGTAGGAGGGTGTTTTCAGCTAGATTTTGAAGCATAGGTAGAGTTTAATCTGGATAGAGAGGCAGAATACACTAGATGGGAAACAAATAGAATGAGAGGCACAAAGGTAAGAGGTGTTAGGAGGTGTGGAAATGAGATACTGATTTCCATCCTAGGACAGTAAGAATTTTTACAATTTGTTCCACCAAAGAAAATGCAGTACTTTTGCTTCACTGTAGTGAACACACATTAATTGAATTTAATGAAGGCCGATATCAGATCTCTTTTTTTTTTTTTTTTTTGCGGTGTGTGGGCCTCTCACTGTTGTGGCCTCTCCCGTTGCGGAGCACAGGCTCCGGACGCGCAGGCTCAGCAGCCATGGCTCACGGGCCCAGCCGCTCCGCGGCATGTGGGATCTTTCCGGACCGGGGCACGAACCCGTGTCCCCTGCATCGGCAGGCGGACTCTCAACCACTGCGCCACCAGGGAAGCCCTCAGATCTCTTTTGTTACCATGTTTCTTTGTATTGCCAAGTAATGCAAGCATATTGTTGAAAACAAACAAATATGCTGATTTTTAAAAGGCAGAAAAAAAGTTTACTTAATTCCATCATCCCTAGTAAGCTAACAGTTAACATTTTAGTGCATTTTTTTCCCCTAGGTGTGAAAAACATACATACACACATTTTATGTTTTTATTAAATGAGATCCTATTAGCAAATTATTTTTAAAATACGTATATTTTATCCTCTGTTTTGTTTTTGTTTTAGGAGAAAACCAAAAGCCAAGGCACCGCTTCCTCCAGCTGAGACCAAATACCTTGATGCCTCTTCAGTTGATGATTCTGTAGAATCTTCTGCTTTTATCATGGAACAGAAAGAAAACACGATAGATAAAGATATTGAACTCTTGGTCGTTCTACCTGGGGATATTATCAAATCTACTACTGTTCATGGCAGGTACGATGGAGTGAAGGAAATACCAGGACTTCCCTTTCTTCTTCTGTAATTGAAACCCTCTGTTGTAGACTTCTTGATTTTTTTCTTTGGCAGATACTTTATTCATCACTCAGTTTACTTATCTATTGAAAAAGTAAATGCTAAAAGGTATTAAAATTTTTATAACAATGCTTTAAATATCAAATCTATGAATTCCACAACCCCAGTGAAGTGACTCTTGGAATTTGGAACTATTTTACATTTTGTTAGTCATTTAAAAAAAAATTTTTTTTAATAGCCTTTTCCAGAGGAACAGTCATCAGTTTTATTGATTTTCTAATTCAAACTTACAAAGCAAGCCAGGGACCCATAAGAAAACTCTTTCCCTTCCCTTCCAAATTATTCTTTCTCTTTTAAGCCGCTTCTCCAAATTTGACATTGCAGAAGTTATTAACTACTCTTAAAAGGTAATACTCTTTTATTTATCAAAACAGATAAATCTGTAAAACTAGCAGGATTTTTCACATCATTGAATGATTTAATAAAGTTATTTAAAATGTGGATAAATTTAATAGAAACATAGAATTAAACTTTAATCCAGCGAGAAGGGAATATGTGATTTAGGAGACTGATTCCCCCACCCCCCCAGCCCCCCTCCCCACGCCCCACCCCCCCACCGGTACACGGGCCTCTCACTCTGTGGCCTCTCCCGTTGCGGAGCACAGGCTCCAGACATGCAGGCCCAGCGGTCATGGCTCAGGGGCCCAGCCGCTCCGTGGCATGTGGGATCTTCCTGGACTGGGGCATGAACCCGTGTCCCCTGCATCGGCAGGCGGACCCCCAACCACTGCGCCACCAGGGTAGCCCAGGAGACTGACATTTTTAATACCTGAATAAAAATTGGAAAAATGGAATAAAGCCAAGTGTAATTTTCCATTTCATTTTGAAGTGGAAAGTTACATAAGTTGTATACTGGGTCTTGTTCCACCTTTCACCTTCAACTACCCGTTTGTTATCCAGAGTCCTGATTTAGAAATTTAAGCTATTTTGACCTTAGTATTGCATGTGTATGTGTATGTATATATGTGTGTGTAGAACGAAAGAATAAGCAGGCAACATATTGAGTACTGCATTTTTGCAATGTGGTTTTACCTAGGTGAAATTTATTCAAGATAACCTTAATCTTGAGATTTATTCTTAAGATTATGTACAACTTTACGAATTATTGAAAGTTCATGAAAATAAAAAAGTTCAGCATTAGCAAACAATACATAGTATTGTGTATTAAATTCTCATTAAATTTAAGTGAGTTGCACTTTGCCATTTATTTGGTATTGGAAGTAGTTTTGGAGATGACCCATTGAACCATATTTAGGAGGTTGAGAACCCTGTGACTGACCTTGGTGGGCGTCCACCTTAGATGCAGGTGGGTTTTGCCTCTTCTGAGGGAGGAAGGCATCTTGTAAGTTAGACACAGTGGCCATCGCATCATCTTCAATCCTTGAAATCACACCATTACCCTGGTTTTAAAATAATAATGGTAATGAATGTGTCTGGGGTAATAAAGGCAATTCCTCTTATGTTCCCTGAATTCAAGGTAATTTTTTTTAAAAGTCAGTATTTTTTCCTTGTTCTTCACTGATGCTGACAGGTAACAATGGTTTCATTATCAGTACTCCTCAAAATTTCATCTTGAATATACCAGTCATCTGTTTATATTGCCATCTTCTCTACTATCAGCCTTCTGGGTTCTTTTGTTTGTTTGTTTGTTTTTAAACCTCAGGGACTTCAGTATTAGAATCACGGGTTTCCCCTCTATCCTGTCACCCATCATAATTACTTTAAACTTTTCCACATGCTACCCTGAGCTAACTTTTCTTCTGTTTCCTTGACTCTGGGAAAATACATCCATAGTGTACATCCCCTGTCCACCTGGACCGTGGTATCTTACCACTTTGAAGCTGATCCAATACTGAGATCTTAGGTTCTCTCTTTGACACAACTTTTTTGAGTCTAGCTTACCCACTTTCTCTTTCTTAATTGGATTTGTTCTTCATCCTCCTTATGAAGTCTAATTGATGATTTCTCTTCCTGTTGCTGCATTTTTCTTCATATTTGACTTGGATTCTGCATCAGTCATTTCTACCACATTTGTACTTACAAGGACCCTAGATTTTCCCCATCCTTTTGACCTTCCAGCATGTTTGCCTTCCAGGTTCCTAAACTGGAGTAGTTTTCCATCAGTCAGCTTTTTGTTTCTGGGCCACCAACTGTTGTTGGATTGCTTCAGTTTTCTTATCTATAAAAAATGTTTTATAACTGAATTGTTGTTGGGATTAAATGAAATACTTATCAGTGCCTGGCACATAGTGACTTCCACCATTCTCTTTTGAGAACTGTTTTCCTTAACCCTGGGCGCTCTCCATTCATTCCCCACCCTCAGGTTAATCTGACTAAAACATCCCTCTGTTTGTGGCACTCGCTTTGATAAAAGACTGCAGGGATGGCAATTCAACAAAGTAAGGAAGTCCAAGCTAACAAGCCTGGACACTGGGCCACCTTCTTCTCTTCTCCTCTGGAGTTAAGCAGTCTTTCCTTCCCTACCCCCCTTTAAATAGCTTACGCTTCAGCCGCATGACTCTTTGATACTACAGATACTCTACTTTTTCCACCTCCACACTTTTTTTGGAAAGCCATTCCATCTTGAGTACCTTACCAGCCACATTTTATCCAGTTAATGTAGCTCAAGTGACACTTTTGATTTAAAGGCTCCCTGATCTCCCCAGAATGAACTATTACCTCTGACTTCCAAACTCTTCTGACACTTTATACCATTGATAGGACAATCATACATTGTCCTATGCTATAATTTATATGTGTATCTTATCTTCTTAAATAAACCATAAGATCCATGCAGGTATCATGACTTTTCTTCTTGGTGCTTAGCACAGTTTCTTTTTTCTTTCTTTCTTTTTCTTTTTTTTTTTTTTTTTTACAGTTTCTTGCAATGTAGTATTTACCATTTAGTAAATTCAGCATATTGTCTCCCTAAATCTTATATGTTGATGGAGGTAGCAACTTAAATGGTGTGTCTTGAAGAGGCAATTGGATGGGTCCCAGTAGCTTTCCCAGAATCTCTTAAATATATTTCCTCAGGTAGAGAGTAAGGCAAGAATGCCCCAAATTCTGATTGCTTTTTAAATTTTGTTTGAAAAATTTAAACAAAACTTTAAATTTTGGGGCTGAAAAACTTTTCTGAGAGTAGAATTTGTTTTATATCAGTGTTTTTACTAGGGGGTTTGATTTTGAGACTTTGTTCCTAATAGTTTTATCACTCAGGAATGACTCAAGTTGTAGACACTATGACTAATTTTTTTTAAATATTAAATGTTTATAATTACAAGTGGTTGTGTGATTTGGAATATTTCAGGAGTGTGATTCTGGATATCCCAGGAGTGATTCCAGATATTTTAGAAGGCGCTTCAGGATATCTTAAGAGTGTGATTTGGGGTATCTTGAAGGTTGCAGCAACTGCTGCCCCATTATTTAAAAAAACAAAAACAAAAACCAACGTTTAACAATAACAACAAAAACAAAAATGTACAAATAGAAAAATTTATTCTATTTCTGAAAAATGTTAGCTACCTATGTGAAGACCCATGATATAGATAACTTAAATTTCTTCTGGGCTTTGTTACCATAAATGGAATAGGAAAATTTTCAACAAAATGATACAGGAATTTAGTGGGGGACTACAGAAGAATCATTTTAAATAAGTTTAAGGGCATAAGGTTTTCTTAGCTAAATCAGAGTTCCATATGTTACTGTGAAGGATCTCTAATTTAATTTTTTGAGACCATCTCTTCTTAATTTGTCTAAATATTCTTTGTATCTTATATTTATTTTGATAGTATTATATATATATAATCTCCTTTGGAGAATAATATCAATATGAGCCTGAAATACATATTCTCCTTTGGAGAATAATATCAATATGAGCCTGAAATACATATTTAGAAACTTATCATATGCTTCATTTAACTGTTCAGAAAAGTTTTGCTTCTCAAAATGTATTCTTGGGGAAGATTTTTAAAAAGATCCCCTCTCTTCTTTTTTTTTTTTTAAATTTATTTATTTATTTTTGGCTTTTTTGGGTTTTTCGTTTCTGTGCGAGGGCTTTCTCTAGTTGTGGCAAGTGGGGGCCACTCTTCATCGCCGTGCGCGGGCCTCTCACTGTCACGGCCACTCTTGCTGCGGAGCACAGGCTCCAGACGCGCAGGCTCAGTAGTTGTGGCTCACGGGCCCAGTTGCTCCGCGGCATGTGGGATCTTCCCGGACCAGAGCTCGAACCCGTGTCCCCTGCATTGGCAGGCAGACTCTCAACCACTGTGCCACCAGGGAAGCCCTCCCCTCTCTTCTTATACAATTCATGCAGAGATATGCTCAGAATGTTTCATTTTCAAGAATGTAACACACAGCATTATTTTCAGAAGAATGCACTTGTTTGTACATTGATTTTTCACCAAAGAGCTTGTTCGGATTAAGGAACACAATAAGATTGGAGGTGGTAATAGACTTTATGCTCAGGGGCAAACTAAAAACTTGTTATCCTGAATCAGGTTAGGAGCCTTCTGCAGGCTTACCAATCTTTTGGTACCAGAGCTTAGTGATGTTGCCTCTTTAGTGACCAAAAGTCACCCAATGTCTCTTATCTTGCCTTTGCGATCCTTGACTTACATTGAAGATGGCTGAGTGGCAGCCTGAAAACTCTTGGGTATTTCTGTGTGTCCTGTTATTACGAATGATTGGATTGAAGGAAGAAGTACAGGTATATGTGTATATATATCTGTGTGTGTGTGTGTGTGTTTGTATCTGTGTGCTGGTCAAGTAAACAACTTTTTTCACCAGGCAAAGCAGCTCTGTACCTTATTAAAAGTGAGCATTAAAGAATAGTACTGTTAGAGGCAAGCTGCCTAGGGGCTGTGCTCCTCAGAAAGTACCACACTATGCAATAGCATAAG